TAATCAAGTGCGGTTTTTTTTTCAAATATCTTAATAATAATTTAAGTTTAATAATAGCTGTTTGAAGTAAATATTTATATAATGCATTAAGTCAAATGTTTATTGATCTATGTAAATGATTCACAATCGGTCAAATTTGGCGCTGTAATGTTCAACTTACTGTACGTGTAATCTGAGATTAGAGTTGTAGGTGAAACTGGTGAATATTTGGTGAATAACGACGAAAACACTTTCACCTGCAACTTTATCTGAAATTTACCTTTCATCATTGGTTAGCTACCTTATTAAATTATATGCTTTAGAATTGATCCTAATTCAAGATCGATTCAAAAAATATATATATATGTAATCGTTTTATATGAACAATTCTAATTTGATTAACGATTAAACCGATTATCATAGAATTGAATTGATTCACATTCGACTCTCTGGCTTATTTTTGGTAAGCATCCTTATTACAGTATTAGAAATACGTTTACCAGATGTATATCTGATATGATATGCAAGTGAGCCTTAGATATATTGTACATACGTACCTTCTACATAGACCAAAGTGATCGATTCAAGACAAAATGCTGCACCGATACTTTAGTAACTTCTTATTATAAATACAAAGTGTCTATACGCTTTAATTTTTTTTTTTCTTTTCACGATATGGCCTTTCAGACGTGACTAAAGTTGAGTCTATTGATGGTTTTAAAATTGATGGAATATAATAGATCCGGGTCTTGTATATGCACATTTATGGCAGATGATTTTGGAAAGTGTAGTGATCTCATAAAACGGTAATTTGTAGATTCCATGATTCGATACTATTTGTACAATTTTAATTCAAGTTTTACGCTTCATTTCAAATCTTTTAATGACAGTAACTTAAAAAATATATAATACAAAATCTATAATATTATTACAAAATAATCATAACAACTTAATAATAATACTGTAATGAAAATTAATAGGGGTAATAAAAATATAAGAGATACGTATAAAAAAAAAGTAATCAATTCTGGAAATTGGGGTGCGGAGTCTGCAGACTGCATTAAAATTCAAATACCCGCAGCCAAAAATCTGAAGTGCATATGCAGATTCGATTAAATGTTTAACGTTTAATGAAAAAATTCTGTCAGGTTTTGTCGGTCATTGGCCTAAATTGATCAACGCCGGCCTGCATTAAGTTGGGTTTAGGTTAGGTCTAGATGAGGATTTAGAATGAGACTTATTATCAAATTATGAGAAATTTTTTTTTTTTTGTTAGGGCACGAAAAGCTGTTTCACAGGCAAAATTAACACCTTTTAATTTTACTCGTACGTACTTGTACTTTTGTAAAAGTGCTACAAGCTTTTTATAAATGATAAATTCATGAATTTCTCTAGTGTTCAAAGATAAGCCGGCTTATCACGGCTTGCTGCGGCTTAATGCGGCTTATCACCAAGCCATGTGATATCTTCGAATTTGTCACAGGATAACTTCGCGATTATCACATGGCTTGGTGATAAGCCGCATTAAGCCGCAGCAAGCCGTGATAAGCCGGCTTGTCTTTGAACACTAAATTTCTCGTTAGAGATCGTCAAAATATTTGCTCAGTATACTCTTTTTTGACCGTAAAAAAGTTCCTGGTGTTTTTTATATACTCTACTAGTAAGTACCATTTTATGTAATTTTTATCGAATCCTTTTATCTGATCCATATACTAGTAAACTAACATCCCACTCGCCCACCTTACGAACATGCACCTTATATATACTTTTCATAGGATATCTTTGTGAAACTCTATATATATTTAGCATTAGATTGTAACATAATGAACAAGCTTATTTATCCGTGGCTTTGTTACAGGAACTATCTTATAGTGAGTGATGCAGAGCGAATGACGTACTTATATCAACCAACTATTCTATAACAGTGGCAAGAAATTGTCTAGTAATTTCAATGCTTGTTGTTACGAAAATACAAAGTTGAATCATGATAGGCAGGTTGTCCAAATTTTTGTGGCCAAATTGGATACTAAATTTGTAGAAGAATTCCCGATCTCAATATAAATACACTTAGGTCGAATTTCATTTATGAATTTTAGATTGGTAGGCTTTGATTGCCTCATATAGTTACTCACGTGTTAAATACATTCGACTTGAGATATGGCTACACATGTTTTAAATACATTCGACTTGGGATATAATACTTATATAGTATATAATGCTCACTTTCGAGAACTAGCTACTCACGTTTAGATATGAATTCAGGTACATTAAAGGGCTTAGCATATACGTACGTACCGATGACCCCATGCAAACGTGACAGAGGAAGTTTACCAATAATGATAAATAAAGAAGGTAGACAATATAATATATAGTATAGATACTACTTTTATAGCACGTGGGTATGGGTAAAACAAGTACTAACTAGTTGGTAAGTACGTATGTACGTAAAATTTGTTTATGTTACATAAACATAAGTCAACTAATGAATTATAACTATTCGTATCATTTTGATTAAACATTAAATGTTTCCTCCGCTACACTCCGGATAATTATTTGTTTAATTATGAATTTTTCCTTTTTTTTAAAAAAAAAGGACTCTAAACAACTTTTTGAACTTGGTTACAGTTATAGATTTGGTATTGGTGTTAAGAAAGATGAAAAGAAAGGTTTTGAATATTATATGAAAGCAGCTGAGTTAGGAAATTCGAATGCGATGCGTGCTGTTGGCATTTGTTATAGATACGGTATTGGTGTTAAGAAAGATGAAAAGAAAGGTTTTGAATATTGTATGAAAGCAGCTGAGTTAGGAAATTCGGAAGCGATTATTGGTGTTGGCAATTGTTATTATCATGGAATTGGAGTAGAAAAAAATCATTTCAATATCGTAAAAGAGCGGCTGATTTGGGCAATGTTAGTGGAATATGTAATGTCGGTTTTTGTTATGCAAATGGAAGAGGGGTTGATAAAGATGTTAATAAAGCATTTGAATACTATAAAAAAGCTGCTAATATGGGTAGTAAATCAGCAATGAATAATCTTGCTCGATATTATCGAAATGGTATCGGTACAAAGAAAAATATTCAAAGTGCAAATTATTGGTTTGAAAAATCTAGAAGTCTTTTGAAAACTAATAAATCGCCAGATCATATTAATCCTGAACTTAAGAGAATATTAGATGATGAGAGATTTAAATTATCTTGGATAGATTATAATGAATTCAGATTTATCGAGGAAAAAGGAAAAGAGAGGATTTGCAACTGTATATTACGCACGCTGGCTCGATAGAATTAATGATAGATGGGGAAATTTTGGACTTAAGGTGATTCATAATTCAAATGAAAATGAACAAGAATTTATTCAGGAATTAAAAAACTATTGTGAAATTGGCTACAAGAATCCTTCATTCCTAGACTGTATTGGAGTATCAAGAAATAATTATGGTGATTATATTATTGTTTTGGATTATGCAACAAAAGGTTCATTACGACAAAATCTTGTACAAGTATCACAATTAGAATGGAAAGATAGATTGAATCTCTTGCACGGTATAGCTTTGGATCTCGAGTCAATTCATTCGCAAGAACTCGTTCACAGAGATTTACACAGTGGAAACATTTTACAACGGACTGCTTTGCATGTCGCATATATCACTGATCTTGGACTGTCTAGAAAAGAAAACCATATATAGCACCTGAGATTTTGATGGGTCAACCATATACTCGAGCGTCGGATATTTACAGTCTTGGAGTTATCATGACGGAAATTTCGACCGGACAAAGAGCATTTGATGGAATTCCGTTTAATGATGGTCTTGAATTAAGAATTTTTGGTGGATTAAGGCCTAAATGTTTAGGACCAGATTGTTATATTAAATTAGCTATGAAATGTATGGATAGAGATCATGATAAACGACCTAGCGCAACAGAAATTGTTGTAATAACCACACGTTGGTTAGATGAATTAGATCAAGAAGATGGTAATGAAATCAAAAATCAAATTTTGGAAGCTGATAAGATTAAAATAGAACCAATTGAGCAAATACATTCTCAAGACTTATATACTAGCAAACTGTATGATACGAAAAAAAATTCCGAATATTTTAGCAAGCCGATTAGTGTGATAGAAATTGAGAGTGAAATATCAAGCTTATTTTTAAATTAAATTATATAAAGTATTTGTTTATTTTTATTTCTGCTTTTTTTATTACTTATTAAATGTTCATATTGATTTTTTTCGAAATGTTAATACAATTATTTTCCTATATATCACATAGTGCCGATAATTTTTTTTTAAAATGCTTATAAATAGTTGTGTATATAGAGTTTTTTTTTTCTTATAGCATAATCTTATGATATAATTAGAGGGGATGTCTATTGTATATGAAGGTTAACTGTATAAGATTTCTAATTATCCATGAGTTGCCTGATTTAACAAGAATGTATTCAAGACACCAGCTTGCGTTCTCACCGTTCCAAAACATCAGAGTAATTTTCCTCTATAACATAACATAGCTGCTTTATTTGTTTTATTTGTCTTGTCTAGAGTTTAAAAAATCTCTTTATTGATTGTGATAAGTGTTTTATTTGTAGCTTTTTCAATGTCAATTCTGCGCTTAAGAGCAAAACTTTATTAAACAATTTATCTTTCAAGTATCAAATAAGCCGATATACATTAAGAATTATTTTATATATATATAAATCAATAATATTTTACTATAACATAGTTAAATTATTTCGGTTTAACATACTACAAAAATATGAATAATTAAAAGCGTGAAGGATTACACGTGTAAGTCTTGAATAATTTCCATTTCTCTTGGATAATTCGAAATAGTTACTAGAATAAAACTTCTCAACTCAAACTTCTTTTTAATCTCGATTTCCGCGTTTGCCACTCTTGAAAATGAAAATTTATTTTTATTACAAACATGTCGTTGCAATTATTAAGAATTTTTATTACTAGCTTGTTAGAAATAATATATACAATTACAATTGGTGCTCAAACGATCAACAATCTGAACAATGGTCGCTTTCATCAAAAATATTACAAGCGATATTGAAGAACTTGATGAACCTTCCTTGTACTCATCAATATTGGTCAATTGAGATTGGTGTTAAAGTGCTATTAGTAACCTTTGGGCTAATCCTTTAGAATTTGCCTATAGTAATCGAAATCAAGCCTACTATGACAAACTTGCATCATATATTTCTTTACTCCCAATGAATCAAGACAAATTTTAATTGAAGCTTATATAGCAAGACCAGCGGATTTTTCAAACATTAATTTAATGTTTAATTATTTGCAATTTTTACAAAAGTTATACTATATATTATTACAAGATTCAATTGAAAAAATTTTTAAATATACAACATGATGGAAATTAAAATGATAGAATTAAATTGGTTTCCGAAGAATTACTCAAAATGTTTCTTAATCAAAATTCACATTTAAAATTTCTTGACTTTAATTATCAAAAATTGTCAGGAAATATTATTTCTTATTTAGAAAAAAGGATTATTGATTTTCCTTTAGAGATCAGTTTGGGTGATCTACCTAGTACTATAACGGCACTTTCAAGACTTAAAAAATTTAATAATTAACGTTAACATAATTAATATTTAAATATTATAATAAATCATAATACATTATAATAATAATAAATATCAATACTAAAAAAAAAAAAAATTGACAAAATGATATTTTATACCGTATTTGCGCGTAATAACACACATGGGCGTTATTTCGAAACTCCTATTTTTTTAAATTTGTTTTTTTGACTTAAAATAACGCTCATGCGCGTCCCAAAACAACGTGCCCTCTTAAATATACCATATTACATATTTGATCGAGTTTTTCAGGCTAAGCTCGTTAACAAAAGCAAGGGTTTCTTCTTGTAACACGAATTTTTCGATTCGAATTACCGCGCGCGTCCCGAAATAACGCGACAGGGTCTCAAAATAACGCGTTATCACGCGCAAATGTGGTACAGGCAATACACCGTCCAAATTTCTTTCATCATTAACAGCAATCACTTTGAAACTTCAAAGTTTAAGTATTTACGATGGAGAAGATTCACATGGAATTAATTAATCTTATCAACGCACAAAAAAAACCTTAAAGAAATTGATATTCATATATGTCGGGACATTCCTAGGACAATAAATCTAAACCTTTTCGAAAATTTGTATTAAGTACTCGTAATTCATATATTTCTATTGGACTTCCATCACTTTCAGATTGTCTAGAAATATTATGTAATTCATCAGATCTTGAAGAATTAACATTAAATTTCCACTTGCACAAGTACAATGGTTGGTTTGACAACATGCAGCACAAATGTGACTAAGACTAAGATCACAGCAGCAACAAACGAGAACATTACGATTTTTAAATCAAATTATTTGAGCGCATAGGCCAAAACCTTCCTCATCAAAATCATCAAATAGCATTAGCACATAGACAAAATCGAGCGATGTCTCAGACACTTCAAGGATCAATACAAAATCCATTTCTTATAAATAGTTCAAGACCTATACCGATACAACATCAGGAGAATCGCCAATCGAACACATTTGTTACACAACCGCCACGTCAGATCCTTTTTACAAATTCAGGGCCTACAAAACTTGATTTGTGTCATTAATACAAAAAACTCTTGAAATTATTATGTTAGAAATTGCAGAAGCTTTAGATCCACATATTTATCTAACATTATCTTCGACAATTGTCCAAATTTGACATTTATTCACTTGTATATTCTCAATGAATCACTTTTTGAACTCTCACAATTATTTAGAAAATGGTTAAAATTAGAAGATATTCACTTATTTGGAGTCCATTCATTGAAGAAATAAGTTATGATAGTACTTATTGGTTTAAGAAAATTAGAATTAGGAATATCTTGGAATTATTCAGTGTATGTGATTAGATTAAAATTTAAACCATGCAAATTTTATCATGGTGATTTATCTGATGAAATCGATAATTTATTTCAATTTGATCAATTAATCGTGTTATTATATTTGAAAGAAGATTTTATTGAAGTTTATCAAGAATTAATAAAATTTTCTTTAGAAAATATAGAGCATTGCTTTAATAAGATACTACGTATCAGAATAATCATTAGTATTTGACCTACAAAGACTCGCTCAAAAAAACTAAATCTCTACGTGTAAACTTCGATTTTTTTGTTGATAGAACTTTACAAAAAATGTGTAAAATTTTGTTGGAAAAACATTTAGTATTTTTTTTTCGTTGACACTTAAACCACTAGTTTTAGTAGAAAAATTTTTCTCAATTTTATCAATTGTGATCCAAAACATAGCACAGAATTTTCTATGCAATAAATTTTTATAATTCACAAGTAGTTTTTGTCATTTGGTTGCGAGTCCGCGACTAATTTAAAATTGAATTTCATAATTGCAATTTCATGAGATCATGTGACTACACTTCGGTCGTTAGCAACATTAAGACGTTTGTTAATATAAAAAAAAAGCAAAAATTAAGAAATCTAGCACCAAAAGTACCAGGTTTTCGAACCAGTCATATTATGTCGGCAACAATACAACTCACTAATTATTATAAGTTAGCACACAACTTTTCGTTTAGTTGCGACCCTCAATATTTCATCGATCACTTCATCTTGATAAAGCGTAGCTAATCTCAAATTCTACGTATCCACGCATCAAGTGTCAGGCATATTCCGTACTTTATACTTTTGGAATTTTTAATTTCGAAATCGGTAGACTTTATTTAAAGCTTATCCTCTGATTCTGGCTCAAGATGAGGATCCTTCATTATTCTTTGAAGCCAGCTATTGGCTGTTTTCGAGTCACTGATTCCATTAGGTTCGCTCATTTGTTTAACAGCCTGTAATAAATAAGATACGATTGACTTAAAACAGCAGAAAAAAATTTGATCCCCACCTGATCAAATTTAACGATGCACAAGATCGAGTGCTATTTTGACGTATATTATTACGAAGCCTTTCCGGATATTAATATCCGAATTTAAGTATTTGTCTTGGATCACAGAATTCAGCCCTGAAAGTCTATTATGGAAAGATGTTCGGACTCGGGTGAGTGAGTATTTCTAATATCAATCTTGATGGTATCACTGTTCCACAACCCACATTCCACGAAATGGATTCGTAAGAGCAGTCGTTTTTCTGGACCAATTGGTGTAACAAATACATGTTCAAGCAACTTCCTGTGAACATCATGAAGGTGGATGATGCATTCTATTCGATGCTCTACTTTCTTTATGAAATCATCATCTGCATCTTTAAAGAAGCCTTCATCATCATTACGAAAGGATTATTACTATTATTATTATTATTATTACTGTCAGAATTATGGTTAAGTGCTTTCTATCTATTGGTAAGCTTTCTCTGTATTAAAGTGCTTCGATAAGTTTCTGATATTCGTCTTGTGACTATATAAAAATTATTTATGGATTTTTTTTCTATTCCATGTGCATAGCCACCACCACCAATTAAAGCGCCAACAGCTCCACCAATGATAACTGTACTTGTTACGAGTTCTACAAGCATAGCCGACCTACCGTGCCACTCATAGTTCCGCACACTATGAAGGCGAATAAATAATAGGTATATTCAGGTTTTCCACTTGTAATACAAATAACAGATGTTATTCTCCTTAATGTTATTAGTATATATCATTTACTTTTGCTTTTCAGTTTTAAGAAGACCATCTTCGATATCAAGCATATCTAAGCAAACCTTAAGAGAATTAAATTTTTTTATTTGGTCAAATGTTTGTGTAGTTAAGAGACCTTCAGGTCTATTATCTAAAAAATGCTTCTTGCTAGATTATTATTATTTAAAATATCAAAATATGTGAATACCCGGTAAAGGCTTCTGACATAATTACTCCAAAGAATAATATCTAATTTTTGTGTATCTTTTTTTCTCCTTCATAGCTTACATAAGCAAAATCAGTTACCGTACAAGCGCGAAATAACGCGTTATTTAGAGTACGCGCATGTTCGTTTGTAGCTGCCCGATACGAAAGTATCGGAGCAGCCTTTTGTCTCGAATCGGTCACGGGTTGATCATCTGATGCATTGT